CATGACATTGTATTTTGACATTTAAAGCAGGGATTTTAAAGTCCTGCAATTTGAAGGGAAAAAACAACAACAAAAACACCCCAATCTTCTGCATTATCTTGACCTGAATAGTTTTGTCTTCTGACACTGAGAGGCAGTTTCATTCTGAAACTAAATTTCTATGCCTTAACATAATTGGCAACTTTCTGAATATTTGATGCTTCATTTCTGAAAAGCTATGACAGCCTCATCATGTATTTTACTCTATAATCCTGCAAATTCCAAGTTTCATTTTAGTATAATTTTTGTCTAGGGTGCATTGGTGAGGAATTTGAGTGGGGTTAAATGCACAGGACTGTTAGACCTCAGACTCCAGGATGTTTCATCCCCAGGTCATGAGAGACTTGGGCTTTTTCAGCAGAAACAGTTTTCTCAAGTCTTCTGGGATTAAAACATTCCTTTGCACATTTGGAAATGCATGTTTCTTATCTGCTTTGTTGTCATTTTGGATCCCAGCTCTCTGCAAATTATATTTATTTTCTGAAGAGCCTGCAATTCTGACTCTAAAATTTTTGTAGTCACAGAGGTCCCCTTTCACTACAGTTTAGGGTGAAAGTTTTAAAAACGACCCAAGACATTTAACCAAATGAAATTAGAATTCTGTACCATTGAATAAAATGTAGTTCAGCTCTATGAAGAAGCTTAGAGAGGGAAAAGATCTGATAGTTGCATAAGGATGCAATTTGCAAGTGCACAAACCAGAAAATTGAAGAAAAACGCATTAAAAAATGTTTACTGGAAACTGTAAGAGAGGAGGAAAATAACTCTGTACATTGCACATTACTTCCATTAGGCGGGAGGAAGAATGATGTTGGGTATCAGGCAGACATCAGGCCTGGGAAAGCAGGTGCAGTTGCTCAGCAAGAGGCCTTGTTCCCATTCTCATGTCAAGCAGCACAACTGCAGAGTGATTCCACCACTGTCCTGAATGGTTTTTCTGCTAAATAATGGTACCAAAGACAGAGACTTATTGGAAATAGTATTGCAAATGATCACACCAAGAAATGAACCCAGCTCCTACAGTGGATCAAATCTGATTATCATGAGGACACATCACCATTCTTCCCCCCTGCCTCAACTGATTCAGCAGATCAGAAAGGAAATGCTTTGGGGGCTGTAGGGAAGAATTGTTTATATAAGACTTACTGACAAAGCAAAAAAAAAAATTTTCATAGTATGTTTGGTCTGTAAACCAAGACCATTTCTGCCGCAGATGGTGAGCCAGGAAAGTAAGCTACTCCTTCAAGCTCCTCCTCTTTCCTCCCTTGCCTGGTAGAATTAAGCTTGTCACAAGCAGACATTATTAATCTGGAGAGAACTAGACATTCCTCCAATGGCAATAACTAGTTACAACTGCAGGAAAACAATCTTGATAAATTCCACCTCTGTTCAGTGGCAGGGCTGGTTGCAAGGGGAGACAGTAGGCTGTCTAACCAGTGCCTTCAATCACCCACTCAAAGGCCTCTCCTGTTTTTATAGGAAAGGCAGAGAAAGGAAATAATGCAAATACCAAAACTCCAAAACAACCAGTGAGAGTTGCCTTATTCTTTTGAGTCGTGGTTTGTTTTTTCCCCAAAAGCAGTGTATCGAGGACTGTCCTCTTACTTATCAATCCATCAGCATTTTTCACCACACTGAATCCTGGCACAGGCATTTTCCTGAGCTTTCAGATGGCAAGTCAGAGATTTGGCCTGTGTGAGGGGATTTCTTTTCACTCTGTGGAGGTTATCCTATGACTACCACAAATTCTCAAAAATCCCCATGTACCAGACAGCCAAGAGCATCAATGCTCAGAGCTGCAACAACCTCCCTGCTCACAGCTATCCCAGCTGTGCCTTGCTTTGACAGAAGCTCAAATACTGATCCCTGGAACTGACAACAATTTGCTTAGGGCAGTACACAGATGTCTATGAATTCTTCCAGAATTATCATGCCAAACCTTACACCCCTTTCTGGCTTTGGTGCAGGACTTAAGTTAACATTTTAATGCCTACATGGTCCCTAAGAAGAGCTTAGCTCCTGGAACTCACCCACCTTCTTAGCAGGGTCTCATAAGATCAAATGCTGCACCTCAAAACTGTTTTCTTCCTCTAGCCACAGGGAATGTTTAGATGGCAACATCATATATCTTCCTTTTTCAAGTGGTATAGCAGTAAGGCCAAGCTTTCTTCTTGGACCCAACCACTAACAGGATGAAAAATGTTCCTGAATGCTATAAAGTAAATATTGTCAGGAAGTGGAAAGTGGTTTCTGTGCTTGAAATGGACCAGTTCAAGAAGAAAGAAAATATCCATTTGTGGTGTTCTCCACAACCACTGGGCTTTCCTTCTATGACAATATTACTCTCCCATTACTTACCTAATTTGCCAGAAATTAATATGGAACTTGCTTACCACCTGGAGGGAAAAGCATTATGCTGCTGGGATGAAAGGCTCCAGAGATACTGCTGGATCATAAGCTGCAATGTGTTTAAAGAAGAGAAGGCCATTGTGCACTCATGACATATGGCCTTTCTGTGAAAATAGTCCCTAACCCAAGAGGGATCAGAGGTCTCTTTGATGGGATGGCAACCAGAGTGCAGAGTATGTAACAAAACCAACCAAACATCTTTTGCACATCAAACAAAAGGAAAGTCATCTGCCTTAGGCCAATATACTGATACCATGTACTGCTAGGTATGTCAGATGCCAAGAACAGATATCCAGCAATAATTCCTCTTTACTGGAATAACTGTATGTAGGGATGCAAGGCAGGAAACTGCAGAAGCACATTAGTGTTCTAGTTCAGATGAAAAGGATATGCTTTTAAAACAAGCTTTGAGTTTGCCTCCATATATGATCGCTATTGTGTCATCAAGCAGCGTCAAACCCCAAAAACAAGATTCCTCACAAATTAACTAGGAGATACATTCCCAGAGCACCGCAACACACTGCAGCCTCAGATGGACATTAGTCCATAGGAACAGACCACAGCACATCTGAAGCAAAAGAAAAACCCTAACCTAAAGTGTGTGTAGCACCAACTACTTTACAATAAAGAGAATTGCTTACCTACAATATCTTCTGATGTAGACATTGTCAGGACATCAAGCTGGTCCCATGGAGTTCCCTTCTACATATCTCTTACCAGAGTTGTATCTAGAGCCTCTGAAGTGAGAGAAATTGAGAAGATTAGATGAAAGCCACTTAATCTTGAAGTCAAATTTGCCCTCCACACAACTCTGCTATCACTGAGGACAGAAGAAGATCTCTAATCAACAAATGTAAGTCTACTAGTTAAAACAACTATTTATCCTTCAGGCCTCCTACAGAGACACTCCTGTCATCTATATCTGTTCCAAATGGCTACAGCTGTGTTCTCCAATGCCAGAGCCTAATAGAAGACTTTGGCTTTTCTTACATAAAAGGATACCATCAAAACCTACAGCAAAAAAAAAGTGTTTTAGAAAAAAAGAAAAAACACCACAAAAAACCTCCAAAACAAAACAACCAAACCCCTCCTTGAACAATTCACATCACACTTGATGCAAACCTCCAGCCGAATTGAGCTTCTTCCACCAACTGATAAGCAACTCTGTGATGACCAGAGGTGTCTGGGGGACAAAGAGGTGGTTCCCTGGTCTTTCAGCCAGATTTAAGTCATGTAAAGAATGCTTCTGGGATGAACCCTCCAGACGTGACAGATCTTGCACTACCTCTCCTACTTGTCAATGCTTGTTTTGATCCCAGAAACAGACAAAGCTCCCCACAGTGTTTCCAGATTAACACACCTGTTTTCAACTTTCATTCTTTTTAGTACAACTATAATACTTGGAGAAAAACACAACACAGCAGCACACCTGCTGACTTCAAATTCCTCTATAAACAGGGCATTTGCACATACTGTTACATATAGGTGATTATGTTACATGACTGTCAAAGCAATTTTTAGTAGCTGTTATTTTATAAACTACCTGTTATAGCCAACATACAGAGAATGGTGAGGAAACACACACATGGTGTTGTAAGAAACAGAAAGTGGTTTCATGATAAACTTACCCTGTGCTTCATGAGAAGTTCTAAGATGTCAAATCCTATGGAAGTACAAGGAAAAAAACAAGACCTACTTGCAACTACTGAGTGCAGTCTTTCTACAGAAAGAGTTCCTCTAAGCCATGCCTTCAAGGCAAAGTCACGCTTGCAATTCATGCAAGTGAGCTGGTTTAGAGGAAACTACAAAGATGTATCTCATTTCTAAAAGTAAACCTATTCATGGACTAACCCCAAATCGCAGCAGTCCCTAACTCTTGAAAGGACAGCTAACCAAGATCAAATAGCTTTTCTAATTTGAGCACAAAAGGGTGTGAGGCTGTGGCTTTTTCATTACAGGTTAAGAGCAGCAGATCAGAGTATAGCATGTGTTCTTTCATCTCCACACTTACGTAAATGTGTACATAGAATTATAGAATCACAGAATTTTTTAGGTTGGAAAAGGCTTTGAAGGTCATCATTGTCCAGCTGTTAATCAAGAACTCTGGTCCCCAAGTGCCACATCAACACATGTTTTAAGTAACTCTAGGGATGGTAACACATACACTTTCCTGGGCAGCCTCTTCCAGTACTTGACAATCCTTTCAGTGAAGAAATTTTGCTTATTTATCCAATCTAAACCATCACTGGTGCAACTTGAGGCCATTTCCCATTTCACTGTAACTTGGGAAAAGGGACCAACCCTCCCCTGTCTACAACCTCCTTTCAGGCAGTTGTAGATGACAATAAGGTCTTCCCCGCAGCCTCCTTTTCTCTGGACTAAATGACTCCAGTGCCCTCAGCTGTTCCTCAGAAAACTTGTGCTCCAGACCCTTCACCATCTTAACTGATAAGTACACCACCTATAAAAGTCAATATAAACTGATTTTTCATTAGTGTGTACTGACCTTATTTCAACTCAAGAAAGAAAGCGGCAGTATGAAAGGACTCAGATGTTTCAATTTTTATTGCTAATCACTTGCCTTTGCAATGTTTCATAACTCTTATCTAGGGCACATTGAACATTGTTTACATGAACATTTTATTCATTTGCTGTAGCATGATACACAAACAGTCACATCACGTAAGCATCAAATACGCAGCTTCATTTTATCGCCGTCCAGGTCTACTCTTCAATACTTTCAAAGTTTTCTTCATGATTGGTCCAATTTCTTCAACAGCAACAAAGAGACCAGTTAGGATTACAGCTATGAGTGACTTAAAATGGTATTAGCATAATATTAAGCATATATTAATAGGCAGGTCAAAACAACTAAATTGATAATCTTAGGAAATTCCATTTACTTTTGATTGGCTTCTTTCCATCTTGAATCATGACACCTGAGCTGGAACTTCCAGTGTTGCCAGCAGGAATCAGATTTGATAATGTGTTATTTCTGTCTCTGCTTTCTGGAATCCTTGTTCTTTTAGAAAAAGGAAGTAAAAAAGTTAGTATTTGATATCAAGCTACTATTTGCTCCTGCTCATTTGGGGGAAAAAACCAAAATCCTGATCAAACAAATTTAAGAGACTTTCTCTGTTTCAAAATCATAAGATAATTCAGGTTAAAAGGGGTCACAGGTCCCCCATCTTGTCCATTTTCATTCTTGCATAAATTTTAGACTTATAAGATTTTATTTAAAATTAAATTATCAGAGTTTGTGACAGATCAAAACAGTGAGCAATATCCCTGTGATTCATAATGCCCTGTGCTCTAGTTTGTTCTCTGTGTTTATTTTCCTCTGTGAACACAGCTGAACTGCTAACTAGCTCTCTGACAGAAAATAAGGGCAAACTTAAAAAGAAGCTTGTATAAGAATGAGTAACTAGGAAAAGGCACAATAACTAACCCTAAATATCCAATCAATAGGACAAGACCTGAGGCAGATTCTTATACCTCCTGCTAAAGACAGTTAAACCAACACAGCAATCACATGTCAGCATGATGTCACTGATCTGGACAGCCTTGTCCACCTCAGAGCCAGTCCCTGACATCTGCTGCCAGTGCTCACATACCACTGTGCACTGAACTGAGAACAGTGGCCTGCTGGGGATCTGCGTGTCTGCCTCGGGACCTTCTTAGCTCCTGCAAGACCAGCTGCTTAAGTGAAAATTTCAGCTGTACAAATTCTGCAGTTTACAAATATGACAGCTCAAAGCAATGAAGTTTAACTTATCATGCCTAAACAAACCCTTGTTTCTCATGAAGGCAAAGCAACGACTCTTATGGCTTCTTTCGCACAACACCAGTTCTTCCTAATTTATCATGCCTGGGGTAAAAGTCTTGAAGGGCTTGGAGTACGTCATTCAGCTACTGGCCCAGTGATTACTGGAGCAGAAAGGACATATACATTACTGTACTTGAAGCACCTAAAGGCTGGAAGGCTGGTCTGTCACAACACAGAATCAACCTCCCACAGAGCAGCTGAAAGCAAAAGCCTAACCTGAAGTGCCTTAAGGTACTGCCTTGGTGGGGAACTATCTTTCCATTGAAAACAACAACAGTATGGAAAGAACCTTCCGGATCTCATCAGCTAAGGGTGCACTTATGAAAAGATACCTGGTAAAAAAGCTGACTTTAAGAAATTACTTTAAGAAATACATCCAGGCTGTCATTCCTGCCCCATACCACCACCATCTTGAGCAGTAAGTCAAGGCTATTCAACTAAGCTTCTGAAATTCAGAGAGGGGAAAAAAAAGGAATGAAAGCACACCAAACAAATAAACAAAAGAACCTCCCAGTTTTAAAAGTTCCTGATGTTCATTCTGATCAGCTAAATTACTACAGGCAGCTGACTGGGATTTTATCAAAGCAGAAGAACCTGTGAGGCTACTAGGCAGGTTTATAAACCCAAAACATCAACAATGGAATCTCCCCAGGATGTCAAGCAGCTTTAGAGTGATCTGGACAAAAAAACCACCATCCACTCACACTCTAGCTGAGAGGGTGAATTCACAACTAGCACTTTGGAGAAATGTGGGATGGCAATGCGCACATGGCGCGGCACAGAAGCACGCACAACTTAAAAGGCAGGTTAGTTTCTAGCCACCAGCCACTTAAAGAAAGGAAAGTAAATAGAGAGTTATTTAGAACTTCTAAACTATTTTGCAAGCAAGCTTTTGAACTGACAAAAGACACTCAAACTCAAATTAAAAGCATTGTACATAACACTTACTTGTACTTCTGTATGGGATGAAATGGGGTGACAGGTCCTGCTGTCCCATGGATTTCTTGCTGTCGGCGAATGTCCCTGGGTGGTTTTGCTGCACTGCTCATATAAGCCATTTTTACTTGTCTACCTAATATAGAAACAAGGAGCAGAGGATATGTGACTTTTTATGCCTTTTATATCCAAAGCTCTTTGCGTTGCTGCTTAGGATCCTCAGTCTAACCAGTAAGGTAAGATTTGTCTAATGCATAATACTTGCAGCATACAGCAAAGTATTGTACTAGCACATGCATTTAGTTTTTCAGCAACTTTTAAATTAAGAACAGTGTTTGTTCTTGATGACTTCTAGAAGTTCAGCATTAGTGTTCCCTGCAAACAGATCACTAAACCCTACATATTATCAAGAACAACAGAAGAGATTGGGTTATGTAATTGGAGGAGCTAACCAGATTTTACCTTTTGGTTTCTCAGACTGAGCTGAAAGAATATTTTTTGTAAGCATCTTCAGTTTTTCTTCTCTCTGATTAAACAGTCTCAAGTACATTTCACGCCAAGACTCATATTCCAAGAGGCTCTCATTTTTAAAGTCTCTCTGGCAGTGTTTCTTCCACAAGTGGTCAGAGTCCTTTATAAACATCTAATTTGAACAAAAGATATCTTAAACCAAAGATTTAAAAACACTTTCAAGAGTACCTATTAGCTGAGCCTGAAGACGCAGCCCAAACCCTTGGTGGAGAAAGGTGCAGAACAAACCCCATCACACGTGCCATCACCAGTACCCACAGTGTGAAGTGTAGCAATACCTTGCAGATATACTGACTTCAGCCTAGAAATCCCACAGCTTCAAACAGCAGAGCCCTACGCTGGAGTCAGTAGGCCATGCTTACAGTCTAGACTTGTGTTTACAGCACAGGCTCAGGCCGCTCCAGCTCTCCACTTGAAGCAAGCAGAGAAAAGGCAAACTTGCACTATGAAGGGCTACACACTGAGAACCTCAATGTCCACATGCATCATGGAGCTGAAGTCTCAGCAGCATGCATACTAAATCTACCACACACATGAAATCTCACTCCAGCTACTTCTTGACTGGTATGCTTTGCAATCTTAAGAGTTTGTAACTTGAACACAGTTGGTTCTATTACAACTTTCCCACCAATTCAGTGTCAAATACTGTGATCATCTTTTTTTCTTTCTTATTTTTGGAAACAAAAATAGTTTTCTATGTACAGTCTTTCACTTAGTCATCAGGAATAATTCTCCCAAATGTTTTAAATCCTGACACTTGAGAAAGGGAGTCTTGATAATGATAGCTTAATTCAAAGAAATTAGTATGCAGGACAGAAACCCAGTGCAACCCATGGAGTTGTGGAACTCTGTACCTCCCTGAATTTAACAAGGCAGAATTTACCAAATTGCATTCCTCTATTCGAAACAACTGCTCTGGTGTGCAACGTGTTAGCACAGGTTCAAGAATTTCAAAGGGCACACCTCCTACTTCTTGTAGCACTACAAAAAAGTAGGTAAGGTACTTTCAGTATCTTGCTTATTTTACTCAGTGGGTAACACCACTCATCAAGCAGTTTAAAAGTAAAAATACAAGTCAAATTTAGCACACACTAACAGAACACTTCCTGAAGTCAGGCTATGAAAATATTTAGAGATCAGCAGTTCCTCACTGACTAGTAGTTATACCTGAGGACAGATAAAGCATCTTTGAACAGTCATTTCCCCATCTTTACTGATGTGTATCACTTCCCCTCTCTACCTATGCATGGCATAAAAATGTCTTGATCACTCATTCTAATTTATGTAAGCAAACATCTTGGGCTGAGGGGAACAGCAGACTTCTTGACTTATAATTTATAGGACATTACATTTTAAGTAAAACTGGAACCGGAAAAATTGTAAGCTTTCAAAAAAAACCTCTACATTTTAGCACAGACATCAATCCCTTTTTAAGTGCCTTTCAACTTGCTCTGAGTCATTGTTTGCAGAGCAGGACAATATATTTTAGTAGGCTTGATGTTTGCATGGAGAAAAAAAATCTGATACACTTTCAATCACAGCCTGCTACAAATCCCTTAAAGTACTCACAATCAATATTATTCTGAAGCACACGGATGCACTGTTCATACAGTGTAAGCATCTTTGAAAGACAGACCGTTTTAGAGCCAGAGTAAACTTGCATTTTAGAGTTCACTCTCCTTCCTGGGAATTGAACCGTCTCACTGACTTGCTGAGGTGCTTCCACAACAGGTGCTACAGAAGCTGTAAGCAAAACATCAGCAGGTTTTGCAGTGCTTTAAACATTCAGCTCTGAGATGAGCACAGCTGGTAGGACATGTTACCTTTTCTTGAAAGACAAAGTTATTGCATTACAGTTTTGGGCCCTTGCACATATTATATTGCAGAAGTCCACTCGCCATCATCTAACACCAAGACAGCATGTACACTGCAAGTGAGCTGCACCCACTCAAACATGTCTTGCATTATTTAGCTCCAATCTACATGAGCTGTATTCACACTTGGGTAAAGGAGTAACCTATCTATGGCACCCTGCTGACCCTCCCAGGTTATCCTAGAGAAGCCAGAAGCTACAATAGCAGCGACATTTCAAGACGCCAGTGGTATAAAACCACTGAGACCTCAGAAAAACTGCTAGAGAAACCACTGGCAGTTTACATCACCTACCTATAAAGATGCTAGTGGTTCCCATGCCAAAGTTCCTATACCAAGTGTTTCATGTATTTATTTTACCTGAGGTAGTTTCTACTAAGTCTATTCTTGTCTATACCTTCGACCAGGCAAAAAGATAAATGGGGGTTGTAGAACTACTACTGATTTATGCCTTCTCTAATATGCCTTCTCTACACCTGTGATAACCTTCCACAGTATTTCTTTACTCAGCCAGCCATAAGGAAGGCTTTATAACTCCCTTCAACTTCAGTATGATTTTTACAAGTGAGAAAGTGAAGGTGAAGCCCTTCTTTGCTACGGAGGGATGAGCTAATAGAGTTTATTAGAAAAGAAGATAAAATATCTCTACAGAGACCTGTAAAACCCCATACCATTTCAACCTTGTATACCACTTACCTGTAAAGTCTGCAGCATATGAGTTTGAGATGCCTGTCAGAAATTTAGGTAGTGGAGTATTAAGAAGCTCCTGGAGGGATGCCATCTTAGCCTGTGCACAGTCAAGGAAACAATGCTTCAGCAATATAAATTTGGGTTTACGGGAACTTAAAATAAGCTAAAAAAAAAAAACCACACCAAAAAAAACCCACCCACACGACCAAAACCCCAAACCAAACAACCCTTAAGCAAACCCCAAAGGTAACTAGGATAACTAAAATTATTTTTCTATACTAAAATTTACTCACAGGATTATTTTTCACGGTACCCTTTCTTAGTTTATATAGTCTACTTATCAAGACTATACCACAAAAAGAACTTAGTGTGACATCTGCAATTAGTGCACAGAAAGAAATTAAAGAACAGTAGATCGGTCAACAGGCTTTCAGATAAATCACTACAGAGGCAAGCAGTGAACGAGACAAAACTGCAAGATGACAAAAGTACAATCCTAAAAGACAAGAAACAGCTTTACACCTGGTCCTATCAAGTCTCCTAAATCATGCCTAAAATATTCACAGATAACCCCATAAAAATGGATTGAAAGATGCTGCATTCTGTTAAGTATGGGTCCCTACAAATGTATTATGAGCAGTGTCAAAATTGGGTCTTAGGTGTCCTCCAATTGTAAGTCATGCACTTATAGCCCAAAACTTGCATTGCCTGAACTTCATTTCAGTATCTTCAATAACTTTTCACAACTGCTTGAATATAAAAAGATTTTTCTTCAAGCAGTTTAGGAGCATCAGATACAAGCCTCTACATTAATATTTCTCCATTTGAGACAGAAGATACCACATTCAAATCGCAGATCTTCCACAATAAATAAAGCCTGAAGCTTTCACATCACAGTGAAGATATAATACTGAAGATAGCTCTAATTTCCAGCATGCAAAAGGTTTTAATTTAAAATGTCTAATTAATACACATTTTTAGATATACCTTGGCTCAGGGAAGCTACTCAAGCTTCTTCCTCTTCAAGGAGCTAGGATAGCTCAGATTAAGAACATGTATAATTGAGTTTTATATGCAATACTTTGGTTTACCTCAGTGCATTTAAGGAAGGTTCAGCTCCACTGCAAACCTTAATGTTCACTATTAAAGAACCGTATCATCTGACAAAAAGACTGTGCTGTACACAAACAGCTGCTGCAGCCACAAACCAGGCTGGTCAAGAATGGAAGAAGGGGACATCTTTCCAAAGGTAAATATCTTTGCACTTTGCAGGTCAAAAGCAGACTATCTGATATGAATCAAACACTACTGCAGTATTTGAAATAATCCTAAAAATACAAGTAAGTCAATTGCAAATCCCCAGTATGCAATAAGCACTCTTCCTTCCCCCCTTCTTGCCTCCCATAATTATTGTAATTACAGGTAGTTGCAATAGGGCTGATATATCAGAGTCATGCAATCTGTTCCTTAAAATAAACAGAGATAAATTTCACTGAAATTCAAAGTGCAAAGCATTTGTTTATCTGCTATTACCTCAACCATGTAGCAGTTTACCTTTTTACTGGGAGTTTCTGATTGATCACTCTCACATTTTTTAAAGTCTTCCACTCCTTCTTCTGCATGAGAAAGTTTTGAGGTCTTTTGTGGTAATGACCTGTTCTTCTGTTCACTGCATTTCTTTGGCCGTGCACCCGTAGCCCCAGCCTTCCTCTTTCTTTTATTAGTAACTTGATCATAATTAAGATAGGATTCAAAAGACATAGTAGGGGGCTCAAATTCCTCATCACTAGATAATTTGGCTTTGCTTTTTATGACAAGTTTTTGTTTTGCTTTCTTCACACGTTTAGGACTTCTCTGTTCAGAAGTATCCTTACTAGACTTTTCCCCCAGAGGTGATAAGCCTTTATCGGCTGCAGAGAAATGCTGCTTTTCTGAAACTTTCTTGCTCTCTGTGGAGTTGCTCCCTTTGAACTCACTGTCTTTAGCCTGAGAATTGGTACCCCAGGAAGCGTGCTTAGAACCACTGCTGCTACATTCTTCATTATCACATTCTTTTGGACACTCAGAATCTGTACTTTGATGGGTCTTTTCACTACAAATATGCTCCTTATTCAATGTTTTAGAAATGGGAGCACTGTTGGGACTTCTAAAGGCCTGTACAGGTGCTCTGGACTTCTTTGAAGGCTTAATCTCCTTGGAAACAGAAGATTTTGTCTCACATTTTTCTTTTTCAGTATATTTTTTTCCTCCATGACCACTGCAACAATAGAAAACAACCCATATGCCATTGTATACCTGATGCTAAATTTTTAAACAATCTTTGTTCCTATATTAGTAAAACTAAAACCATTAAAATCACACCATATGTCAACTTTACAAAACCCAGAACTGTGCTCTGCTGTGCTCTTATTTTTCCATTATCAGTACAGAATCCCAGAGAACTGCTCTTGGGTCCAGCACTGCTAAATATTGCAACAAGAATTGACAGCAAGGCAAGTGGGGAGTAGGGACAATCATCAGTCGGAAAACATGCCTGGCAGTACTACTTGCTTAAAACTTGTTGGATACCACATTTCATACAAGTTTCCCTGCATGCTTTAGAACACAGATGTGGTGCTTGAAGTAACTATGAGACAGAATTTACAACATGCTCTGTAGGTGGTACGGATTACAACAGGTCAGCCTTTACAATTTGCTCTTCACAGGTTCTGGTATTTTGCTTTCCTGTTGTTTGAACAACTTCAGATTTAAAATGCACTGTTTAGTCAAACGAAACCCTTGGTTTTCTCAGCTCAAGTGTCTCAAACTGTCGGAGGACTGCAAAGCATCCAAAGCAGAGCGAGCCTGGTCATGGCAGTGGTGGCTGTTTCTTTCAGAAAAGAAACTGCATTTCTTCAGTGTGACTCCTCTGGTATTAGAAGCCCCTCTCAGTCTACAAGAACGTTAAAAGAAAACTCTCTATACAACAAAAGCGCAGGAGAGTTTCCTCCTTTAACCACCACCTCTGGGAAGAAAGAACAAGTTTCCCAATTTACTGAAGAAGTGCACAGCACTGCCCATCATTGGTTAGGGTTAGTCCCTGCTTGTACCAGCTGGGACCTAAGAACTTGTACCAGTCAAAAAACCAGCTGAAGTCAGAGTGCTGACTGGCTACTTGGCCAGTACTAGTAACTTTGACCTTTTTCCTCATATTTTATAATGACATCCTAATTCCTTCCATTCAAGTTATGCATTTGTCCTAATGCAGATTTGTTCTTCCAAACACTTTCCCAAGATTTCCAATCTCTATTTTAAAGTCACACTACAGTATAATTAACTTTTAGGAAAAACGTTCACACCTACCTTTTATTTTCTGTGGAAACAAGCTTTTTCCATTGTTTTACCAGAGTTTTAGCTATATTCCCAGCAGTGACATATTTCCTCAAACTGTTAACTGTTTTGCCTATGCCAGTTTCCTGTGGAAGATAATGCAAGAAAGATGGGCAGAATAAATCACAACTCTCATCCCAAACAAAACCTGTGTTTAGGAAGGCAAATGCCTTTGCCCCTTTGCCTGAACAGTCTAGCTAAATACCTTAATAATCATTTTTTTCTATTACTCTTCAAAGAATTCTCTCACAAACCCCATATTTTTCTTCTTCCCAAAATACAGACACATTGCTTATAATAAATCAAAGCTTCATAGACCAGTGTGATAATATTTAGTATAAAATTCGATAGGATGTGGCTTGGATGAGGATAAAAGTCACAAAAATCCTTACTTGGGCTGCCCTCTCTTTAAATGCATGAAACTAACTTTGAGCTGCTAATAAAAAACAGAAGAGTTAGAAAACTGACCTAAAGAATAGTTCACCCTTATTTGCTTTTCAGTCAATGCTAACATTGATTGAAAGCAGTTTTACACTGAAAAGAAACCAACCCTGATTAGTAAAATTAGTAAAATGGCCTTTATAACCTCAAGTCCCTACTCAGTACTATCATTAACATAATACTGCATTTGCCAAGTTGGATGTCCAGCTTTTAAGAAATGAATCTAACTAAATTAAGATACAGAGCCAGAATTCTAAAATGTAACCTTCACCACCTCTACAACTGCAGACTCCTGACATTTACACAGTAATTCACTACAGAAGAGTTTAATAAATCATTATTGATTGCTTACCACTAGAATATCCAGTGATAAATCCAAATCCTGTAGTACCTTAAGTGTTGTTATGATCTGGAAGGAAACATTAGATTTATTGTTTTAAACAAATACTTGAAATTCTACTCTGTTCTTCTCATCCTCATTCCCTTGTTTGATACAAAAAGACTCAATAGTGTTAAAATGAACACCCAGGGCTGCACATCAGGGCTGTGCTTGCAATCTGTGCTGTGAAACAGTACAGTTCTGCCAACCCCCCAGTTTCAGTAACACCAGAAAATCCAGTAGATAGCTTGAATTTACAACTATAGAGATTACCATAAAGATCAATAATACAGTAGTATGAGGTACATATATATACCATGCTCCTCATGTAGCAGTGACCCTCTTCTGCCACAAAACCAATAGAAAAGCAGCACTAGGCAAAACCATCACCAAAAAAAAAAAAAAAAAAATTAGCAAGTCTCACAGTCAGCAGCACTACTCCTTCATCAGCCCAGGCCAAGAAAGCACAATAGAGATGGTGGGAGCCCAGACTGCATAAAATGAGGTATTGAAAACATAACTGCAATTTGTACATTAACAAAATTAGCTCAAGCTAGAACAGCTGTTTTCTTTAGCACTGACAAAGTGTACACCTGTTACAAAACTCAACATTTCCATAAAAAGAGGAAAGATTTTTTTCAAATACAAAAGGCTCATCTTCCTATGAGGATTTTCTTATAACAAAAGTCTAATTTATAAGCAGAATATAAATTTCTACAGTAATATAATCCAATGTTTTGACAATGGTTATACAGCACCCCAGGGTCTTGCAGCTGACCTTATCCTTCTGTTGTGGTTTAGGAATGGTATTCCCCAGTTTAGTGTTCCCACTGAAACACCCCAAACTGCATGCATGAAGCTATGCTACGTAGGCAACACAATTAATGTACAACTGAAGTAGCAGCATTTCATGGGGCTTTCACAAAGCCTGGAATACTAGTCAGGCGTTTCAGATCACTGACACTTCTAAACATAATATCAGTAAAGCAGCCTACCCAGAAACTTTTTAACTACAATAACAGCTATACTGATTTAAATAACCAATGAACTGTCTTTTATCATATTAGATATTGCTTATGAAATGGAATTGCAGGAGGCGGAAGAGGTACTTAAAAAATGAATACCAATAGAAATTGCACTCCAGGGATATATTTCTCTACTGTTGCCCTAAGTTTTATTGTTCCTGTAATGCCTTAGAAGTGGAATCCCATATGACACTGAATTTCATTGTGTACAGTGGGTTCTATCCACATGCCTGGCATGCAGTTCTTCTGTAAATCATCCATTCTGCAACAGTGCTTCTGAGACCAGAGAGGTTCAGGAAAAATGCTGCACAGCCTGGAAAAATGGTAAGACATGCATAAGACATGCACCTAGGAACAGAGCTAACCAATCACTTGTCTCCCAAAAAGTTCAGGTAGCTACAAAACAGCAGGATACCTACAGAGAAAAAAAAAAAAAAAAAAAAAAAAAAAGAAAAAGGGAAGAAGACTGGGGGGGAAAAAAAAGCTTCCTGACCCAGATTTCAGAACCAGCACAAGGGCCATATGAAGCTCTGCTTGTCTCCCATTTAGGAGTAATACACTCCCCAAGAAAAATAATAATTGCTCACAAGGTTAACATAGTTTCCAATGGTTGTGATTATCAGTGTCAAGTTAGTTCACTTTTTATTTAATTAAAAGAATATATATACCCATTGATTTAATTTATTTTGCAATGAAAAAGAAATAACCCACTGGTAACAGGTTATATTGTGCTATACAAAATGACTAGATACTCAATCACTGCAAACTACTGGGAATAAATCCCATAGGCCAAAACCAAACCTCTGTGTGGAAGAATACATTGAAACACAAAGAGAATAGGGGGTTTGAGTATTTCCTCTTGATAGGTTTTAGACTAATTCTTAAAGCCAAGTTTATTTCAGAAGAAAAGATTCATGAAGCAGGCAATCACTATTCATACGACTTCAAATCTACAAGCTAAATTACAGAAGTACCTAAGTGGCAAGCATGTCCAAAACCAGACAATACATTTTAATGAAAGATTAAACTTGCAAAGTTTCCTAAACCAAAAACTTCACTGTACTGTGTACTGTGAAGCACAAGACAGAGAAAAGTTTTTCACTGAAACTAAAGTTGTTAGAAACACAAACTTTGCTGTCATAATACCTATATAGCATACTATTACAATTATTGTATAAGGCAAAAAGAAAGAAATTAGTCTGTTCTAAGTAGGCCTTTAACAACAAAATGGAGACTGTTGAGGCACCTTGTTCTAACCATCTTTCACCATAGCATTTGTGGCCCATCTAGCTCTTCTTATCTCACTGGACTAGATCCAGTAACTTCTTCCCCCAAGTTCTTTCAAATACACACAATACATATGTAACTCTCCATTGGTTTTCAGACTATTTTATTTCACATATCAGTTACATCTCATGGTAAAAAAAGTATTGAGACTGTGAAGTTTATAGAAAAATCAAGAAAATACCTATTTATTCCTGAACTATTCTACATAATTTCTACATACTGACTTAGAAAGAATGATCAAAAACCTTTAGGATTGTTGGTTTTCCAATAAATGACATTCCAAGCAAACCCAAGACCCAGATCTTCATGCAATATAAACAGACAGCAAAAGCAGAGCCTTATGGACAAACAGAGCTGGCACACACATACCGGTGTGAGACAAAAGCAAAGTGACAACAGAAACAAGAGCAAGCAAAAATGCAGGAGTGGAGGGAAAGCAGGCCGGCATTTGGAAAGCAGAGGGCAATGATAATGAGCAGTGGGTAAGGAAGCATGTGTGCAAACAAAATTTTCTGGAGTCAAAACTGAAAGCAAAGTAGTAATGACAGACCCCAGGTGCATCAGGTTTGGTCTTTTCCCACTGCACCAGTGTTGTTCCATCATCCCTTATACAAGTGTTGTACTGTCTCCTAATTTTTTCTATCTCAGCTTGGAACTTCAGGAAGGATGGGAGCCATTAACAGATTCCCAGGCCATCCGTAGTCAGTGGACTGACTAAACATTTCATTACAGTAACTCTTGCCTGTTTTCTGTCCTTCCTCCTTCACTCAGTAGCTGCAACTCTCTTTCAAAGAGATCCCTATGATCCCTTAGCTCATTCTCTTCTATAACACAGCCTGTGAAATTCCACCAAGTCCACAAATTCTGGCTGAGCTAGACAACTCCTCTGAAAGAGTACCAAGACTCTGAAGACACCTTAGAAAAACTCAGCTCTTTCCCAATCATATGCCCCCAGTTATAAAAAAAAAAAAAAAAAAAAAAAGGCACACAACTGTTTGTCTAAAAAAATGCCTAGTTTTGTTTTCAGCTATTAAATCTAATAATCTCTTCTTGCTAATTAAAGGAGCCTTCTTTCAATAATCTTATACAACGCAGAAATAAATGTAAACATTAATCACACACTTTACCTTGGTTCTTTAGTTTCATTAAGTTATGCCAGCCATTCTCTGGCTGTCTTATTATCTTTTCAGCTTGGTCAGTATTGTTTTTTAAAACAGTCCTCAGAACAGGACATAATATTCCTCTAACTGTCCCTCTAATGCTGTATAGCAGTAATAACATAACCTTGCTAAGCTACCTAAAGATAGCATTTACTCCATAAGCCATTGCATTGTACTGCAATTTCATGCTCAACTGGTAATACATCAGAGCTCCAAATCATTTTCTGAGTCAATGCTTTCCAAAATACAGCCTCCTATCCTGAATGACCTATATTCATAGCTCCTAGCTGTGACTTTCCACTGAGCCATGGTAAAGCACGCGTTGCTCAAATGCATGTAGCCTAGCACACAATCACATTTGGTTTCTAGAAGGGACTCTTCATTTGACACAAATTACTTCAGTATGTGTAGCATTTCCCTATAATGCTTGCGGTCTTCTAAATTAAGAAAGATTTGAGTAGCATCATGTCAGGAACAGATGGATAATCAACCTCCATCTCACCCCAAAAAAAACCCCACCACAAACCCACAACCAAAACCACAAATCAGTATTGTTTCCTGTTGAGGTCTGGCATGTATTTTTGGTGAGTGCAACTGAAATCAGTTTTATGAATTACATCAGGTCCATGACACCACTATTGTAATCACCATTACACAGAAGCAAGTCAAATGCCTTGAAACTTGCATATATTTATGACAATTACTGTCAGCTGAATACAATTTGAGATGAATTTGGCAGAACGTATCTACATAACGACTCACTGAGTGGCATGGATCATGGCACCACCCTTCAATTCTACATCAGTACATCAGTTAGATCTTAAAACAACATCATGCAGCTGCTCAACAAATTCCTTTAAGACCAGTGTCAATGAGGACCATTTCACTAAGCTGTATAAACAATAGCATAGTATTTTTTTCCTGTACCTTCATTAGAACCTTGAGCGTCATTCAATACCTATTCTTTGTCAATTCTCTGAAAATTCACTGAGTAGCTATCAAGCTTCACACATTAAGAGGCTTTTGACATGAACAATTTACGTTCTGCATCTTCCCTGGTTACAATCATATCAAAGACTATTCAGCAATTACTAGAAAGTCCCAAGACAAATATTATTCTCAGTATGGAACAGAAATATTTAACAACACCAGCACTTGCCTAATATTGATTTGTTATTCTTTCCACACATACCTAGAACTTTCCTCTTTGCCTTTAAAGAGGCATTTCTATTACTAGATTTAGCTTCTGTTAGGAGTGCATTTCATATCTGCTATCAGTTTCTCACTTTCCCTACCACTCCTTAGGCCCTTGTTATCCGTAAATATTTCCATTTCACTAAACACAGTTTTACCAGGGACCGCAGAAGTGCTGCAGCACCACCACTAGCCACATTTTATGCAGCACCTACTTGCAGTCATGCTGCATAAAAACAGATCATCTCTTCCCTTAACAAAAACAAATCTGCCAGAACTATTCTCATTTTTTCACTGCAGTTGAATGTGTTCTGAAACTTATTGTTTTGGGATTAATTAAAAATTAATTACCTCTACAATTGCTATTTTCTTTTGCTTTTCTATCTCATGTTCAGAATAGCATATCAACAGCAACCCACTGTACTAAAAAATTCAAATCCTATAATATTTGATAATTTCTGTAGCACGGGAAGAAATCATAGGTTTATGGAACTGAAAATAAAAACTTCCGACAGAAGCATCAACACATATTTGCATTTACAGCACTGGCATTCAAGTAGATAAACCATTATTGGCTAAGAAAATCAGTATTTCCTCTATGTGCATAAATACACACTTTAAAAACACACTGTAGGTATGATTAATAGGCAAGCTTTTCAAGTTCATTAGCTACCAAATACAACGCAATTTCTACTGCTGCCTTCTGTCTCTAAATACTTCCACAAATTTGTATCAAGTTTTAATGCTTTTGAAACCCATCAAAGCAAACGTGTCGTATTTTCAAAGCGAACGTGACCCTAAACAAACAAACAAACAAACAAAACCCACCCTACTCTTTTAATACACCTTCTTTAGTCGAATTGGGATGTATTCATAAAACATTGAGGCCAATCTGGCTGCTCTGTTTGCAGTTCCTTTGGAGTCCAGGCTGTTGCTCCGAGAACGGTGCGTGCCTTCATCCCCCTGAGCCCCATAACCTGTGCCTTCCGAGTGTCCCTCTGTGCCTTCCGAGTGTCCCTCTGTGCCTTCAGAGGCTCCCTCTCTGCCTCCAATGTCCCCGTCTGCCTCTCTGCTCCTCCAGTGTCCCCCTCTGCCTCTCTTGTGCCTCCAGTGTCCCCCTCTGCCTCTCTGCTCCTCCAGTGTCCCCCTCTGCCTCTCTGTGCCTCCAGTGTCCAGCACAGCTTCAGTAGCTGCTCTGACCCAGCTCCCCACTGATGTCTGCGTGCTTTAAATGTTCCTTATCCAGTCCTCGCAGCTACTGAGCAGCCTAGCTGCCCCACAGCGGGTGTGTCACTCCTTCCAGAGACAGGAACAACTTTGTTCTTCTTGCACCGAGAAGAACCACCAGGCAGGGCGTGAGAGCCCCCGCTCCTCTTGATGTGCACCGTTAAAACAAAGCAGAACCACCTATTTCCCCCAGAAAATCTCTTATGAACACAGTGATTGCAGCCCAGCTGCTGTTTTGCTCTCCTGGCCGGGTACCTCCGCGGGCTCCCGGGCGCAGCCCAGCCGCTCCTTCAGCTCCAGCACCCTCCCCGCCATGGAACCGGCACCGGGATCGGCACTCCGCCCCTCCGCCATAACACCGGCACCGGGATCGGCACTCCGCCCCTCCGCCATAACACCGGCACCGCTCTGGCACTGCCCCGGCATCGCTCCGGCCCCGCCCGGGCCGCGCCGCTCCCGCTCGCCCTTCTTGTACCCGCGCCTGCTCCGCCATAGGCGGGCCCTCCCGGCCGGGCCGGGTGCCGAGAGCTGCGGCCCACCTGGCTGCTCGCTACCAGTCTGTCAGCAGCAATGACAGTGAGTGTGTGCTTCGCTCTGCTCTGCCTCGTTAGGCGCCACCTGAACACACAGTGGCACTGGGCAGGCACGGCTGCAGTGAAGGTGAGCCCGTGCCGGTGAGTCGGAGGCATCACCAGCCTGCCCCGAGACACGACGTGGCGCGCTCTGTGCCCCTGCCGAGGTGTGTCCATCGGTGTGTCCATCGGGGCGGCTGTGCGGCCGCGGGAGAGCCGGGAGCGCTCTCTGTCCCTGGGGTTCCCTGTCAGAGTCACTTGTTCGTGCACACCTGTCCTGTTACCTGCAGGTGATGACAAGGTCTGTGGCACTCCTGGTGTCCGTGCGTGGCTGGGAGGCTGCTCTGTGGCACGATGCCTTGTGTAGGGGGTATCATTGTCAAGCCATGAAGACGTGACTGGCACCCACAGGCACCCACTGCGGTCCTGACTCGGCTGAAGAGGACATCCTTTCCTTTTGGTCCTGCCTTATTTACAGCCTGATGGCTAATGCTTCTTGCCTTTTTTTTTTTTTCCTTTTTTTCTCCCCCTCCCTAGGAGGACTGATCACTTTGGGGCCCTGCATGGCTCCCGTGTGGGTTATCTACAAAGCATGTGACAGGGAATCAATCGGTCTTTGGTTCTGTGTGAACTGCGCATCTGAAACGGGATCTCCGCAGTAGAGCTTCCCGGGGCTGAGCATGTCCTTGAAAGACTCCAAGCTGAATGAATCCTTCCTTAAAAATCTATGCCTTTGCAGTATTTCCTGGAAAGTTAATGAAGATGTAATTAAAATAGATACATAGAACACCTTTCACTCTTTAAAGTGGTGTCTGGGGAAAGTGCTAAAAAGTGTATCCAGTCTGAACTACAGGGGAATTTAAGTAGGCAAAAGTCTGGTATTTGCACGTTAGGGTTACTGCTCTTGCAAAATAGATCTTATTACAGCTTGGCACAGTGTATAGCAAATTCATCAGTAGAGAAACCAAAATAGCTGGTATGGCAATACAGCAGGTAGAGCTCTTAAGTTGGGTATGGAAAAAATAAATACAGGTGCAAAATCCTGATGCAAACTGGGTCTCCAGTTCCCATGCTTATCTTTTTACTTTACAGAAATAATTAACTCATCTTCACAATATGGCCTAAACATAGGCCATTCACAACTAGTTACTCTTCAGTTTTCTGGCCCAAATAGTATGAAATTATTTTTATAAAGTGGCATTTATGGAGAAGAAATCTTCAGAGAAATTCAGCCCACACCAACATTATAATTAAAGTCATCATGAGTAGGGAAGTTGAGGCTCAGATTGTCATATGTATTATGCAATTGAGACTGGAATTCCCATATGTTGTTTGAAAGTCTTAATTCTCGAATTACTGGGTTTCCTGGGATGAGGAAAATGTCCTTGCTGCCCAATTATTCTGAAAGATCATGATTTCATGCCAGTGAAGATGACATTTAAAATCTTAAAAGCTCTCTAGAACAAGAAAAATATTTCCAGCCCAAATCTAACTGCGACATTTTTCATATCACCTGTCATAACTGTCAGAGGAGAGAATTCCAAGTTTACTCAATCTTTCAAAACTGCAGCCTGATCATTATGAGGGTTTGTTTGTTTGGCATCGATGTGTGACTCCTTTTAGAAAAAGTGGGGTTGCCATACACACAAATATAGCTCCAAAAACTGCTCGGACAATACGTGCTCAAAAGCTGTGTTGTGCCATCAGCTCTGCACCAAGGCTTGCAAACTCTTCTCATCCCTAAAGTCCTCTCTGTGCCCTGCTGCCAGTGCTTAATGAGTTTCCAAGGAAAGACTGAAGCCAGAAACAGGCTTTGTACAAGCTAAAGAGAAGAGCCAGGTGAGAGTTTCAGGGGGTGAATCAATGCGAGAGTCTTGGCAGAGCAAAATTAGGCAATGGAGTGGGAGCAAATGATCGAATACAGGGGGAGGTCTGAGTGACCCACTGGGGATGGATGTCTTGCTGAACACTTGATTTCATCTTCTGTGAAATCAAGCCCTGTGCATTTGTTTCCAAAGAGTAGTAGTTTGTACATTTATTTAGCAGCTTAAAAAGAAAACAAACAAAACACATTTCTATTTCTTTTTTGAAAAGACTACAATTCCCACTGAAATTCAGTATGCTTACTGGTGTGATTACTCAGTACCTTCAGATTAGTGCATTTAAAGATATTTTTCATAACTGTTTATCATAGAGAACTAAATATGGGCTTTGAAGGTATGTGGTATTTAGCTGAGCATACACGAAGTGATCAGAACAAACAAAACAGTGATGATCTAGAGCTAAGCCTGAGTTTTGTTAACATCTTTAGTTGGCTAAGGTAGATCTGCACATGGCCATGGCTGTGACGCTTGTGTTCCACCAACAAACCAGAGCATGCTGACTTCAAAGAAAAGGCTTTACATTTCCAGAAAGAGTGCAGTAGTGGTGGTGCATGGATTAGAAAAGATGGTTATAATTGCCTTAAGGCCTATCTTTGCTGATACAAGAACTTTCCCTATAGTTGATTCTGAATCGCGCACATGGAGCAAATAATAACAATTGTTCTTGGTCATTGGGCTGAGAACAAATCTCTTGAAATGTTTCCACTTTTTACCCCTAAAATGTTAAAACATTACTATATGACCTGCAACTGCTGCATGGATTGATAGTTTTGTCCTTAGTCACTCATAGAGACAAGTTGATTATGAAGTAAATTAAATCCTTTTTCCCCAAGATTCACTCATACTTAAAAGCATGCATCTTGAGAGGCTCAAGATATTGTCAAAACATTAGTAACCCTTCTATGAAGTGAGAAGACAATTAATAACCTGATTGAAAGGACTTAAATCAATATAAAAATATTTTATAGTAATTAATTTCTATACCACTTGAAAGGAAATAAGCAGAAAGACAACGTTATCTTCAAGATATAAGGGAAACAATGTTAATAATATCTGAAAATTAAAAAGCATATTAAATCAAAATTTGATTTTAAAAACTATTGTTTTATATAAATGTGCATATATATAATGTATTATATATTTTATATATATTTTATATACATGTATAATGGATATATATGTGTGGTTTGCATTTCGCAAATGATTTCTGAACGTGGTACTAGTTATCTTTATAAGATTTTATTGTTTGCTAATTAATGGAAAATGAGAATGACTAGCCCCAGGAACAGTTTGCATGCCACATAATATCCAACTACACTATCAGTTGTCCTCTGAAGACCAAATAACATACAACCAAAGTTTCAGAACTATGTGAGATGTTTATTCTGTCACTTTTAGTACACTGAGATGTTGACTCATGCCCCACAAGATGGTTATCTCTATACTGCCCAGCTCAAAGCATGGTCGGTATTTTCTGGAAATTAGAAATTAGTTCTTTCTTTTCAGTGAGGATGCTTCCCCATTGTCGTTTCTCTTGTTTTTTTCAACAGTGAACCATATAAGGATTTTGGAAACACATTTGTAGAGACTAAATAAGACTTGAATTTATTTTACAGTGTGCTAGTAATTTTAAAGATATGCTATGAAAATTAGAATAATATTTTATTTTCTACATATTATGATTGTGTATTAATTTTGGAGAATTGTCCCCTTCATAAAAACAAAAACCAACAAAAAACAAACACACAAACCTCTTGAAAAAAATAATACAAATATATCTTTGAAAAATACTGGTCAGGTAATCTAAATTATAAAAATTTATAAAAGTCTTGGCATGAGTTGTTAGAAAAGGGAACACTGAATAACTCAGGTTCACTGGTATGTATATACTTGGGAGTATTGTTTTAGAAATACGCCTGTTCTACCTACAAAACCTAATTTTTTACAAGTTCTTAAAACTCATGAAGTACAGTGAGAAATATATTCTTGTGAAAAGTTTGGTCAGAAATGATCCCTTTGGTGTAGAGTTTAAAAAATCTTAGAAGATAGTTGTTTTATGAGAATGTCTTTATAAATGTAATGAACTAAATAAATACATGGAGAGTGTTAAGATGATGATAGCCACATCTCTGCTATGATGAAACTCCCTGAATAAGATAGTTAGTTGTATTTTTGAGGCAGTAGAAATCTACATGTGAGAAAAAAAAAAGATATAGTAGGTGGAAACTCCCTTTTTGCACAAAAGAGGAAAGATAGGGGGATAAAATAGTTTATCCCTAGTGATTATGATTTGACAGAAGAAGAAAATTTTTCACAATGAGAAATAACTAGTCACTGGAGACCCTGTAAGGCGGGTGATTCTCAATGCTGGATGTTAAGATTCACCTAAAGAGTGTGCTGGGTTACCTAACTAGACTACACTTGCAAGAAAGGCTGACTACGTTGATCCTTGGAGCCCTTCAAACCTGAATGCAGACTTCAAGAAATAAGGCTTTGACCTTATTTTTTCACAGCTGTGGCCCTATTTTTCAAAAGGGATAATGGTTGTTGCTGTTGGGAGGGCTTGGCTTTATGTCCTTCTCCTTCACTCTCATTTCACACATTTGACTGCCTATGTTCCCTATTCTGTTTTTTCATTTTTATCTTGCAACGTTTTGTAATACCAGCACAGTAATGCTGTTTTGTTCAAGATGACAAGTGTTATTTTGCAGCAGTTGTTGTAAAAGCTCATCCAAGCCTGGAGGCAACCAAATAAATCTGTAAGAGTAAGTATTATACAAAGTACAGCCAAGAGGAAGTCTTCCTGTTCTCTAACTTCCACTTCTCCCAATACCCGTTTTATCTCTCACATGGGATTAAGTTCTTCTGGGATGTGGAGGTTTGGCTTTTTATTATTCCTGAGGTTGACTGGCAAGGAGGTAGAGGTAAATTATTTCAGTGTATGGCATAACCCACAATTTACCTTGTCGAGAGAGAGAAGACCAAAGTTCACATCTCTCTGCAAATATGTCAGGGAATGTGAGTCAGGATCCTTGAAA